AAAATGTACAATAAATACAAAACCTACTTCTAAACTAGCTTGTTGTACAATACGAACAATAGAAGGGTAGATTTAAGCGGCGATGGTGAGTTTGCAACTACGTTACAGATTTCTAATGGCAAACCTACTACCTACTGATTGCAATTTTCGTCAATAATTGTCTGTGGTTTACAACCACATGCTTATGATTTTTTAACTTATAGTTTGTAGCTTATATTTGCTGCCAGGGGTAGGTAAAATTAGAGAATGTTGTCAATTTTTGTCAGAAACCGCTGTTTCATTAACTCTTATGGTGTTTGTTACCATTACAAAAACCCCTCCGTAACTAATTCTTTTGATAAACTGGTCTAATTTTTTTTTTTCAAAAGTTAACGACACATCTACCGCTGTTGTGTTTTATTATAGCCAGTAGTGGGTTTAACAAACACTTCACACTGTCATTTGCTCTCACACTGTCATAGTCCAACGATAGGTACTCCAAAAATGATTAAACAAAAATCAGCCTTTGCCCAGCACCTGGTCGACTCAAATCACTCAATGAGCAGCATTGACGAAGATTTAGAAATTTTACATGTCTGTGACGAAGGTAGTAAACTTGACACCTTGGAGGAGTTCGAGATTTATAAAATTTATAATGATGAACAGTGTAAGGACCACATCCTTAACGAAAAATTACAGTTCCGGTCTCACTTGATTTTCAATACAATCATTAACTAAAGAACAGCTGATCGAAGATCTGAAGCCTCGTTCACACATGGCGATTTGTCTGCGGAAACATTGTCTGACTGTCTCTGGAGTGTTGCCATTTGTCTAGCGATGTCTCCAGTAAGTAGGCCGACTGCCGGCAGACAAATTTCAATGTTTCTGGAGACAAAATACAGTGTTTTCTGTTTGCCGTTCGAAAGGGAAACATGGAGACAAGAGACAAAAAACTTTTATCTCAAGTCTGCATGTGTGGACGTGTCTGGAGACAGGAGACTGGATACAAGCCAAAGGTTTTCAACATTCAGCCCATTTAGTTAGACCTCAAAGCGGTAATATTACAATTTTTGGACGGTAATAAAAGAGCTGGATTGAATTTCTTGAAAGTTTTGGAATTAGTTTTCAATTACTTATAAAAATCATAGTCAGTTAATTGACATTTTATTGAATTGTTCATTTCTTCAAGTTTGAAATCCTAGGACCAACAAAGCCCAGCAAAATTTCAAATTCTTTAGAAGTCAACCTCGTGAAGTTCCTAAATCCTCCACCTAATCTGAAGGTCTGATAGAAGTGATAGAAGATTGTGGCCATAGTTGGTACGAACCTTGCTCGATAAAATGTTGGGTCCATCATCGTCTCTTCCTAGATTCATTAGGCACATGGTTCAGAAAAATGAAGCCCGCACAGGATATAATTATGTCCTCCTTGGTCACCGTACCAAGAAACATGGAAACACTGTCTGGCTAGTGTGGACGCAAAACACATCAGAAACTTGTATCCGAAACTGTGTTGACAGACTGTCTGTTGACTGTCTGCGCACGGTCGGCCGACTCAGTCTCCATGTGTGGACTAGGCTTGATAACATCAGTGATAATAGTAGAGGAGACTTTGTGACGTAGACCTCCAGTCTGCTACCAACTCCGCACGGCGCCAGACCAAATCAGTATCATGATGTTATTAGCAGTATCTAAATGTTTATTGTGTAACCGTTTTAATCTTTTTTGTGTACGCGTCGTCCGTGTTTTAAATGTGTTTTTGACAAGTTGCAAGTTTGGAAAATGTTGTCTTCGCAACAAAACATGTAAGCATGATGAGCAATTAATTATTAGACTATTTGACAGAGGTAGGCTACCTATGTAAAAAACACATTATTGTCGAAAGAACTGAAATTCCACCCCTATAGAATCATGGTGGTCCAGAAGATTCCCCAACATAGCATCATAGGCAACATAGTTTAAGGCTTCAGTTTAGCCAACGGATGTTGGAGTTGGTGGAAGATGAAAACCTGATTAAATCCTGATGTCTGACGAGGCTCACTTTCACATTAACGGCTACATTAACAAGCAAAATTGCCATTACTGTAGGTAGGTAGGGATAATTGGGCCTTAGTTTTTTTTTATGAAAGGGAGCAGGCGGTTATTGTTAATTCGCAGCGTTATGTACGAACATGATTGTAGAATTTCTTTTCCCACAAGAGAACAATTACGACATGGATATTATGTGGTTCCAACAAGACAGGGCAACTGCACATACCGCTAGGATATCAATGCAAGCTGTTCCCTGGACGTTTGATTTCCCCTAATAGAGATTTCCATTGGCCCCCTCACTCACTGGACCTCACGGTATGAGACTTTTTCTTTAGGTTTGGGGTGTATCGGTACACTACCCCCTTGATCTGGGGTAGGAGTACACCCCCCCTTATTGTAACTTTCAACTGCATATTACTTGATGTTGAGAGTAGATTGTAGAGGGGAAAATTAGCTTGCTTTTGATTTTTTATTTATCAAAATATCTAAAATGGTTCATGAGTTAAAAACTTGTGTATGAACCTCCACCAGGGAAAACAGAAACCCCCAGCTTTATTAGAAATTCTAAAGAAGAAAAAAACCTCTATAATAGCATAATTAAAATATCTTAATAGCGTAGGCCTACTTAGTTAAGAGATTTTTCGTAAACCTCCGATTGGTAAAGTAACTTAAGTTTTTTCTTGTCAGTCAAGCAAGAAACAACAAAGATTTCTTTAGTAATACTTGTCCCATGAGAAAAAATACACTTGCCCCATAGGAAAAGGTACACTTGCCCCTAACGTGTTTTCACACCGGGTAAGTTTACGCCCCCCCCCCCCCCCTAACTCCCCAAAATTGACTTTTATGGCTATAACAATGTTATTTTTCAATTCCCCCTAAAAAATAGGTAAGATAACCAAATTTCAGTTAGCCTAAACTCATAGAAATCATAACAAGAGAATTTTTATTGATCACACGGTAATTAAAAAGAGCATAGGCCTAGTTTGAAATAGGCCTACCTTTGGCCAAGTTTTCCAATTTTTTTGCTAATAAACAAATTTATTATTAAGTTAGCTGGAAGTCCGCTTGCCTCGTGGGCGTACACTTACCCCATTTGACCTTATCCCAGATTTAACTAATTTACTAATGATGAAGATATTTTAGTGTAGCCTATCACAATTTTTATTTGAAAATTTAATTGTATGGAAAAATTTGGTTTTGACGACCAACCTCTTTCTTACTAACCTTCTAACTTATAACTTATGTATTAAGTTTTTTTAAAGATAAATAGATATTAACATTTTTTTATAGAGATTTTCATCCCGGGAGTAAAATTATATAAGTAGGTAGGCCTAGGTAGTTTGCTGTGGGGGTAATTATTTAGTATTAGGTGCCTCCGAACAAATGTTTAATTTTAATGTGTGTATATACTTAGGCCTAGGCTTTAGTTTTTTACCTCCTGAATCCAAATAAGTAGGCCTATAGGCTACCATCATTTTTCACCGCTGATGAATATTTCTCAAGATATAACCGTAAAAATATAAGTCGGTACAACATTACAAAACAAGGTAGGGTGGACGACATTTATTTACAAGTGGAATGAACTGTGGGTGAAGTAACCAAAAGCTGATTGTTCTCAATCATAGTCAAGCAAATGGAAGTGACAACTTTATTAGCTAGCCTAACTCTGATTCAGCAATTTGAAAATCACCTTGGATTAACCCTTCACTTTTCACAAGACCAATAAGTTAGGTAACACATTTAATATAGGGCCTAAGCCTAATTTATTAACTTATTGTTACCAGTTTTTTTTTTATTCTTATTAACTTATGGTTTATTTGCCGTTTAGAAATTACATAATAAAATGGTGCTGTTCTAACATAACCTAACCGAACCAAACCTCTAGAACGTTGGCAAACTCCTTTGATGTCAGATAAGGCATGTCAGGGTGGTTGGCCGTGCTTTAGGCGAATTCGTGACTGCATTGAGTCAGTTGAAGGTAGGGCCTAGGTTAGATGAGGTAAGTTAGGCTACCTTAAGTTAAAGTTTAGGTTAGCCTATAATAAAAACTAGCCTAAGTTACAACTGGATTTTTCTAGTCTAATTTCAAGGGTACACTTAGTGGCTGACGTGCAACAGGACAAGGTCCGCCCCTACAGAATCAATCAATCAATCAATCAAGGGTACACTTTCTTAACTGGGCTATGCTAATATCGATTGAAACTACTGATTCGATAAGTAAACCTTCATGAGATTTTTTCACTATCAGTAAGTTTGGTTGGTTAGGTTAGGTTATGATAGTTTAATTTAATAATAAGTTAGATAGCCTATATTTAAAAATATTGATATTAGGCCTAATGAATATTTTCAATTCGATAGTTTCAATCGATATTAGCATAGCCCAGTTAAGAAAGTGTACCCAATTTCAACACGACAAGTTAACCAAGCCTATTTATTTCATGAGGACAGATTACGCTAACTAACTTGGGCTTAAGTTACGTTACAGTAACTCAATGTTGGATTTCTTAGAGTGTTTAAGTAACAATCTAGGACCAGTTGAGCAATAAGTTAGCATAGGCCTAGGCCTAGTCTAAGGATAAAAACCTTCTATGTTAGGCCTAAGACATCCTAAAAGGGCCAAGTTATTCAGGGTTAACTTATGATTTATTAGATTTAGGCCTAGCCTAAGTTTTAGTCTATAGCCTAACTTATATGTTAACACTTTTGAGTAATGCTTTTGAACATTTGGGCTGTTTTAAAACGAGTTGATAACATTTTTCAAACAAGGAGGCTGACATTTTGGAAAATTTTGGTTCAATCCTCCCGAAGACCTAAATGTAAGTTAAAACAATTTTTTTTTCAATTTTCAGAATCATATTGATGTTATCCAATACTCATACTACTGGTATCACTAAATAATAAAATTTAAGCAGTCATAGCAGCCATATTTGAACCAATTTTATTCCTAACCAACGTCATTTCTACTGAGCTCTGCTGAGTAACTGCACTTACTACTTATTTTCATGCCCCCTAATGGAGGATTGGGAGGTTGCTTGTTACCCTCTGCAAAGGACGTAGTTCTAGGACGTCCACTCATTTCTATCTGCGCTGATTTATTTCATAGATGTTCATGAAATTCTAACATTTATCACATTTCTTGCTAACACCCTTGCGAATGAAATATCGGACAGGGGCTGGTAGGCCTGCGTAGGTCCTCCTTACAAATTGGGTTTTCTACGCTCGAACTTCATTAACCACCACTAATCCACCACGAACACCGATAGCCTTATTATATCACTCACGAGATCGTCCTAAAACACATTTATCGAATTTTAAAACTATAAATCCGCTAACAAAAGCCACCCATTTCTCACATCACCACAAAATTTTCGATGCTTCAGCATTGACCCGTTCGGGTAACTTCGTATCCAATCATATTCACTTGGGTTTCCCGAAGACACCCGAATGTGACGTAGCTTGCAACCTTTTACGTCATTATGCATGGCGATATACCCAGAATACCTCAGTGAGTGGTATAACTAGAGACCTAGAGCAGTGTTGCCGATTAGTGCATATTCTGGATGCAAAAGATATTACATATAATTCATCAACTATTTTTAAATACCCCCGCCACAGCAAACCTGCAGACTAAGCGAATTTCCATTTGCCTGATTGGATTTGCATATAAATGTGATATAAATGTCTACATAAAAATATAACATTTATTCCTTATTTAAATACAATTAGTTTACAAGTACATAGGTTTGCTGCATCAGGGATGGAAAAACTGTTTTTTTGTTGTAAAATGTTAATAGTTAGAAAGGAATTAACATTTTCCAAATTTGATCAAAACATGTTCATAAACAAGCAAACTACATAGTTAGAAAGGAATTAACATTTTCCAAATTTGATCAAAACATGTTCATAAACAAGCAAACTACAACAGTTTACTTATTCTCCATAAGAATAACATGGGAATTTAAAATTTTTTGGAATTTTCTCCGTAACCATTAGGCGCATAATAACGATTCAATATACTAAATTATTTGTTTTTTTAAGATCTACAAAATGGTTTGGAAAGAAATTGCTAAATTTATGTTTTTTTTTTATCAAAAATGGGAAAACCCTATTTTTACCCCCATAAAACCCCCCGTAAACACCCGTTCCCATAGTCCGATCATGCTGGTTCGCGAACTTGTTCAAAAATGTAGGTTTACACGTTTATACAAAATTTCATCAAAATCGGATCAATTTTGCTCAAATTATCGTGCTAACGGACATATATACAGTATAATTATATATATATATATGTGTGTGTGTGTGTGTTTAAAGTGTATTAAGTCGTTTTATCCCCTATATGGGAAATTCGATAAAACTACTTAAATTTAAAAGTAAGATGTTCCTAGCCAAATGGGTTTATTACTTATTACTGATGATTTGTCAAATACCCCCCGCTGCAGCAAACCTGCCGACTAAGTGAACTTCCATTTGTCTGAATTGATTTTCAACTAAATTTATTTTAATAACATTAGGTCATAGATAAAACATACTCCCTTAGTAGATTTCTCATCCTAATGGAACAGCTGAAGACAATTTTATTGTTAGTTCTGTACGGTTTATGTAGAGGTCGTGTTTTGTTTACAATTTGTTTCCCGTTAATACAGACATTTAAAACCTCGTTTAACCAAATAATACGATCTAATCATAAACAATAAATTGTGCCCTAGTTATTTAACCAAACAGTTATAAGCACAAATCAAGAAATTAACCCTAAAATAATATAAATATAAATGTTTCGTCGACACTAGCGCCTATAGTGTGGCGTACATGAACTAGACATGAAAAACGAGCTTCAAAATTTACAATGGGATGAGAAGTCTACTTGTGTTGGTTAGTCTATGATTAGGTTTAACGAGTACCTGAACAAGGAAAAGGCTGAAATTGGCTGGAAAGGGCCGATACAAGGAAACTAATCAAATGTGGTTACTATGGTTGTTATTAAAATATTAATAACTTAATATAAATAAATAAATTTCCCAAGTTTTATCAGAATATACAGAAACAAGCAAACTACAACATTATTACAATTTAATCTCTATAAGAATAACATCGGAATTTTCAAAATACGATTTTTGAATTTTCTCTGCAACCAAGTGTACTAAACTATTTGTTTTTTTAGCTATTTAAAATTGTACAGAGATAAATTGGGAAATGTTGTGTTTTCAGGGTCAAAAACGAGAAAAACCTATTTTTACCCCATGAACCTCCCCGTAAAACCCAGTTCCCATGGTCCGATCATGCTGGTTCGCGAACTCATTCAAGTTTGTCCCACCTTCCCCTTACACCTTTAAACCAAATTTCATCAAAATCGCAACTGGACTTATTTATATGAAGGTGTAAATGGAGGGATTTAGAGCAAAATTCCTCATATGTAGGTGCTACACTGACCCACTGACCAAGATCTGCTGTTCTTTTGTCCATTACCACACAACACAAGGTCATGTTTTGCCAAACCTCCAATGTTCTAGGCATCCAGCTAGAGGTCCTGCTTCGAACCATCAACATTGATGGCAAGTTCCTGGCTTTTAAAGCCCCCCCCCCACACACTACCAGGCCAGACCGTCCGGTCTGGCGTCTGGCGCACTTGTCTTCGTGTGTGACTGATTTTCTCGGACCAGACTGTCTGCATGTCTGATGGTTATTTTTGTCTGGTCTGTGCTGTGCTGTGAGTGTGTAGTCACGTGTAGTGCCGTCTGTCAGACGTCTACTGTTTTTGACAAGTTGCAAGTTTGGAAAATGTTGTCTTCGCAACAAAACATGTAAGCATGATGAGCAATTAATTATTAGACTATTTGACGGAGGTAGGCTACCTATGTAAAAAACACATTATTGTCGAAAGAACTGAAATTCCACCCCTATAGAATCATGGTGGTCCAGAAGATTCCCCAACATAGCATCATAGGCAACATAGTTTAAGGCTTCAGTTTAGCCAACGGATGTTGGAGTTGGTGGAAGATGAAAACCTGATTAAATCCTGATGTCAAGGCTCACTTTCACATTAACGGCTACATTAACAAGCAAAATTGCCGTAAGGTAAAAAACCTTCAATTATTAACGGAGGAGTAGTGTTTCGTATAAATCGCCTTCACCTATTATTTTATATAAGGATGGTGATCTATTGTGATTTGATGCAGCTAATGCTGCCGCCAACACACACTCACCCACTCATTTATAAATATACGGTTCATTCTAAAATAAATATTAAGATAAGAAAGGAAAATATTTTTCAATAGTATATTATTTATAAGATAATATTTTCATCGACGTTATTTTTTATCACCCAAAATTTTAAAGTTGGCATTATATTAATTGATAAAACTCTTATGACTGTGTCAAAAAATTACTAATAATGAGAAGAACAGTAACGCAGTAATAGCAACGCCATAATTAATTATAAGTCATCAAATTTTAAAGGTTAAACAAAATAATGATATATTATATTATAGTCAGTGACTAATAATCAATGTCATCATCTCTTTCCTTACTGACTAGTTTTGGTTTGAAGTGAAAAGAACACAGAAGATATGGAGGGAATAATGAAGAGATGTAATAATAAATAATAATATCATGTCATGTCAACCAAGAACCAATGCATGTGTCACACGCAGTTAATATTATAATCAATTCAATTTATTTGATTTTGATTTAGCACTGCAGTTAGATGTATTGTAAAGTGTAAAGTCAAGTGTTTAGTGTTTAGCCAATGGTGGTAAGTTAAATTTTTAACCTAAATGGAATGTGGGTGTCCACGTCTGAGACCAGTTGCAGTTTCTGGCGTTCTTTTAAATCACCTTTTGTACATTTAAAGTTTGAAGTAGTGGTGTAGTTTAATAATTCCCTATATTTTATCATCATTAGGTTAAACACGATCTCTAGGTAAGCATAGTTTTTAGCCTAGAGAGAGAGGGAGAGAGAATAACATTTAATCAAAATCGTTAAGATTTGACAGGCGTCAGAGTAATGTTATTGTTATAATAGGTGAGATTGTGTAGTGCGTGTACTTCAGGTAATAGGGTCTCTCCAGTTCATAAATTCTTTAACAGTATAGAAGGGACATTGGGAAAGCCACTGCTGCAGGTGAGATTTTACTTGGTTGGGACACACAAACTTCAGTTCTTCTGGTAGAATACCGGTATTGTAGAATCTGGCTCCGGCGTAGGAAGGTTTCACCTCGAAAAATTTCCTGTGATGAAGGGGCAGGTTGAAGTCTCCAGCATGTCTGGTGTTGTAGGAGTGAAGATGGCCATTTCTTTTGAGGCTTCTGGAGCATGCAGAGTTCACAGCTTCCAAGATGTATACGGCTACAACAGTGAGTATTCCCCAATCTCTAAAAGTCGTTCTGCAGCTATCTCGTCAATCCAACCTTGCCATTGTTCGCATGGCTCTCTTCTGGAGTAGTAGGACTCTTTCCAGATTGGTGAATGATGATCCTCCCCAGAGGGATACTCCATAGTTCATGTTACTCTCGAAGAGGGCGTGGTAAGCGACTCTTGCTGTTTCCAATGTACTGGAGGCCATGACTCTTCTAATTGTGAATAATGCGCTAGGCCTACTTAACATCATGCATAGGATATCTACATGGGGTATCCATGTAAAAGTGGAATCGATGGTCAACCCTAGATGTGTTGTAGAGCTCGTGGTGTCAAGGTTCGGCAAGCCAGGAAAGGTGTTTTTTACCAAAAGTCAGTTGCTTGGTCTTTTCTTCGTTAAACCATACAAGTAGACTTGTCATCCCATTGTACATTTTGAAGCACGTTTTTCGTGTCTAGTTCATGTACGGTGACACTGGGTGCTAGTGTCGACAAAATTTTGTTTCTATTATTTTAGGGTTAATTTCTTGATTTGTGCTTTACTGTTAGGTTATATAACTAGGAGACAAGTTATTGTTTACGATTAGATCGTATTATTTGGTTAAACGAGGTTTTAAATTACTGCAATAACTGGAAACAAATTGTAAACAAAACACGACCTCTACATAAACCGTACAGAACTAACAATAAAATTGTCTTCAGCTGTTGCATAAGGATGAGATATATACTTGGGGGAGTATGTTTTATCTATGGTTAAACATAGCCTAGGCCTAATTTTCCTATCACATTAGTTTCATTTCAAGGTGAAAACTTCCTTGAAGTAAGGAATGAATATAGTGCTTGCCATTAAGTCTATGGATTGTCGTTTTGATTATACAAAGGATCAATACGCTACTAAGAAGATTGCCTTTTTAGGATTATGGGCTGCACTTTACGTCCTACACTCATTCGAAAGAAAATGGATATGAATACAAATTGTCATCCTTGTTAATTTATCTGTTTAACAAACTAAGTAGGCCTAAACACCAAAAAGTAGGTATCTCTTCTTTGTAAAA